CCGTAGGGTACGAATTTGGTACAAGTAGGATACAGGTGTGGAGTATGGTGGTGATTCCTAAGAGTAGGAGGTGTAAATTCAGCGTTAGGTTTAGGGTTCACGTAAGAAGTAAAGGTAAAATAAGTAATAGGTTAGAAGGGTACAATAACGGCGGTCTTCTTTAGAGAAGAGATAAGTAAGTGAACAATAGGTATGAGTATAAACAGAAGACGTTGCGTGAAGAAGAATACTCCTTCACGCTGGGTATATATGTACATCAGATAATAGGACAGCCCTAAGCTCTGTCTCGAACAGTATTACTACGCAATCCCTATGAAACGACCCTATGTTCCTGAGCTTGTCCTAATTGTTTGAGAACTTGATCTAACCCCGAGTTGTGTTTTAGAATGGAACTCCCCATGAGACACCATCCTAGTTTCCGCCACGTTTATCCATGAAACGTGTCCATGATTGTCTGATGTACACATGTAATGCGTATCGACATTGTTTGATCCTTAAGCTCCTGATAATGAGCACGGCTCACATTTGAGTCATACATTAATATGAGCTTGTATAACTAAAGTCATGTTGCTTCATCACTGAGTCTTGTCTATGAAGCCCTTGCTTCCTTGTGCAGACTAGGATCACAACAGATTGACAAGAATCAGGAGACAATTACTGTTTGCAAAAATGAAGAAAACGTCAATTTCCGTTCCACAGTGGTTTCTAAATGGTATAATGAAAGCAGTTGCATCCAGAATAATCAGAATCCCAATATGCCGAGCATCAATAATTCTGAATCTCAACTCGTCGCGCGGGGAACACAATCCATGGTACTTTCACTTTGCAGAAGTAGCCGGAAAGGATGATTCGAAGGCAGACATCAGTTTAACTCGAGTGTAAATGAAAATCTCAAGATGTCCCACATATTCCTTTCACTTCAGGAAGAAGAGATCCGTTTATCAGCCAATTTTCGCGCTAAAGGATTAATTACCTCCCCTGGTGAACCATTTGAAGAATTGACGAAGAAAGAAATAAAAGGTCTTCTTGATCAAGGCATCTTTGAATTTCAACCTTTGAATAAGAGTTTGGTGGGAAGTCGGATATTTAAGTCAAGAACTGTTAAGGTTGTTAAAGGAAAAGACACTCTGGTACCATACAAAAAGTCAAGACTGGTTGTGCAAGCCTTTAACAACCCAGACAAGGAGATGGTATTGACGCATTCACCAACAGTACAGCGAGCAAGTGTCAGGTTACTACTTTTAATTACTCCTTTTATGATTAAAGACAACAGATTTAAGTTGATACTGCGAGACATTCAACAGGCATAAATACAATCTAAGACAACACTGTTAAGGGAAGTCTTCTGCTGGCCATCTCCGGAAATCATCAAGACGATGAATCTACAAGAGAAAACTGTGATGAAGATCTTAAAACCTCGGTATGGAATTCCAGAATGTGGTAATCACTGGTTTGGGACCTGGACTAAGCATCTAAGAGAGATGCTAAGCTCAAAGAATCCAACATTAAACCTAAGCCAATTGACACTCTTAGCGAAGATAATCCGCTTTATTTCAATGGTCTTACAATCTTGATCAATGTGACGACCAGAAGGGAGCACAGGTTAGCAGATGAACAAGTCGAATCAGGTAAGGACTCAGATCTGGAATATAATTCATAAGATTCTAAACTAAGGGAAGTAAATAACAAGAGGTATCTAGAGATATACATATATACTGTTGAGAAATAAGTCTAATGCATTGCAATTCCAGGATCCTCATGACCCTTATTATGGGTCTGAGTTGTCATTATTAGCCAGGAGTTAGGAGAACCAGAGAGCAAGATACCCTGTACAATTAGCTTGTTTATCACGTGGTTATTGGGTTGTTTTGTTAGCGTGCACGGACCCGCACTCAAGATGTAAATCTCGAGTGTTGGATCCGTTTTGATGGATAATTATTTTATACCTCCAACAAGTTGATTTCATAGACAAGTCTACCTTCCATGTTTTATACTAGAACTCCTTAAAGTGATCATTACACAATACAAGGACTAAGGTTTTAATATATACATAATTTACAACTGGTCCGTGCGTATATAGGATCACAACACAATACCTGAAAGGAACAATTGTTATGGCGAGGGTCAGATGATGATAAGATCGCCGTCTGCTAAGATTGGAGATGGGTGGTCGAATGAGCTGGCGAGATACCAGGAGGTCAAAACTGAAGAACTAGAAGCTGGGACTGGAGGACGAGAGATCAAGACGAGTAGAAAGACGAGTGCGATTTTCGGACTATGGAGATATAAGATTGAGAAGCTGGAGAACTACTTTGTGGTAACTCCAGCTTCCTTAAGTACACTAGACTACGTAATGAATTTCAACTGAGGCTTTGGGATCATTAGGTTATGACTCCAGCCCGTCTAACTCTAGCTTTCCGAGTTTCCCGGAAACTTAGTTATTGAACCTTCCCCGAGATCCGTTTCCCGAGAACCTTCTCCTTAACCCTTGTCCTTGAACCTTTTCCTTAGAACCTTATCCTTGAACTTGCCTCAAGGATGCCTAGCCATAACAACAATAGTATTAGAGGCCCCAAGGGTCAGGAATACAAGGCCGTAACAATCAAAGACGGAGCCCTATATGTACAGCCTCGTGGAAAAGGGAAAAAGATCACGCTTATTGATCCCAAAGATCCCAATTGTTTTGCAAAATATAGAAAAATGCGATCACTTGGTGCATGGATTGCCTCAATTTGCCAGCCACTTGTTTCTTTCTTACTGTCAAGATCCGCACAGCATCAGAATTCGGGAATTGAAGAGATAAAGGAACTGCGTGTTGCCCTCCAAATCCAACAAGAAAACCCAGATTCAGGGTTGAGATATGTTGACCTAAAAGTGACAAACTGCCTCGGGCTCTACGCTTGGGTAGATGGCTACCTTGCCAATAACAAGGATTCGACATCACAGATCGGATTTATGAAAGCAATTGGCAACGAAATTCGCGATAAATTTGCATTAAAATTCCGTGGCAACATCATTCACTGGAGCTCAACAAAATGTAAGCAGGTAACTCGTGTGGTGCTGGCCTCAGAGCTTTATTCTATGACTCAGGGCGTCGACATAACAATACCGCTCTGCAATGCTCTTAACCAAATCACTACTGAGCTCGGTCTACCAATTGTGCCTATCATTATTTGCACTGATAGTTTCAGCTTATATGAATGCTTAGTTAAACTCGGCACCATCAAGGAGAAACGGCTCATGATCGACATCATGGCCATCCGCGAGTCATATGAGCGTAGGGAACTAGCAGAAATCCACTGTATCAACGGAAAAGATAATCCCGCAGATGCCATGACAAAGGCTAATCCAGTCGGTGCATTACAAAGACTTGTCAAAACAAATGAGCTGGAATGTAAGTTACAACTATGGGTAGAGAGAAGCATGGATATTCCGGCATACAAGTACGGAGTATAGGAGTCTATTGTTGTAACGGCTGTCAAGCCTAAGGTTTCCTGTAGCCTACGCTGTCTAGCGCAGGCAATTATACAAAGGGAGGTTCCTGGAAACATCTTGGATGACAGGGAACTGGTATGATTCACATTGAGCCTTGTTGAAATATACTGAGAGTTTGTGAGAGTTACAGGAGTATCAAGGATCCCCTAGGTGATTATCGGAGAGTCTAAGCTGTCAAGTAACAGATAGAACCTTATCAAGGAGGGATATTTCAGACTGTATATATAGGTAGTCATTAAGTACAGGAATTCTCTCTTCAGAGAATGATAATTAAAATATTGTACCTACAACATTGCTCATGCATTTTGTAATGAAACTGTGACAACTGTTTATTTTTCAGGTTGAACACTGAAAGTAGTACTACACAAAAGAAGAGTTATCAGTGTTGGAATAAATGACAACTATTGTTAGAATTTAGAATAATTGGGGCTATCAAGTAGGCCACGTTGTCATTACACACGTGACTACAAATTCTGAACTTAGTTTCACTTCGGTAGTTACTTGAATCAATGCGCTCTACAACCTCAATGACTGAGGGGTCATTATTTCCTTAATAGGTTATGAGCACGGATTGTCGCTCGCGCAATCACGTTGTATTGCCTGGAGTTTGATACTATCTTCGATATGGGCAAGTAGAAGGGCATATGCTCTACTTGCGCCAAATTAATCCAACTAGGAGGCTGTCACCTTCTTGAATCCAAGACAAGGCCATCACCTTTGAGTTGCAATCTCTAAATAAAAGTGAATGGCCGTGGCCTGAGAAGACAGGAGGTTATTGCCTTAGTTAGGGAAAGCATAGGTCGAGTACTGAAGATAAGGGGTCGCTGCAAAACCCTCGTGAGGATTTATGGTTCCTAAATGCACCGGTAGCCAGCCCGTCGATGGACTCTGAAAGAGAGAGCCCATGGGTCAAATGATTCGACCCGAAAATTTCAAATAAAAAAAAGAACACCAGCCTGGCAGCTACAGTGCGAAAGCTTCTCCCAACATTACAATCTGACGACTACTTTACGACAGCTGTCACAATTAGAATTATTCGACTCTTTTCTGAAACTTGTCGAATCCCCAACCTAACAGCTCCTATTCGAAAGCTGTCACAAGAATTTTCGCTACTGATTTCCGACAGCAATTCGAACCGCAACCTGGCAGCTACGCTTCGAAAGCTGCTATTTATACTCTCAAGACTTCCCTTCTTATAGTCTTCGCCTTCATCTAAGCAAAGGGATTTTTGTCAATTTATTCGACAAAAAAAGTCTCTACAATAGCCTAAGGCTTCATCATTAACACCCTCTCAACGGCTATCTTCGTTTAAGTTTATATTGTTGTGGGGAAGATAATTCAATGAGAAGAAGAATAATGAGTGTAAAAAATACCGAATCAAGATAGCAATAAATCCAAGTGGAGCTTGGTGATGGTATAAGAGAGCTATCACACGGAACGCTCTGGTAAACAAGTCTTCTGAAGGGACACACTAGCAGGGCATTTTGCTGGTAGAGGGAAACCAGTCAATGGAACACTAGCAATTTGGATGGAATTAACGCCGGAACAACTACGGCACGGAAACTGGGGGATTGTGTTTGAGAGCTGAGAAAGGCTGTCATAGATCAACTATAGAAAGCAAGGAGCATTTATATGGATGATGGTATTTTATAATTCAACTATGAAGACCTAAGTTCTACATACTAATCCAGGTATATATACAGATTTATTACATTCTAAGTTCTTCCCTCCATGGTCAGCTCATTTCTAGATTATTCCAGTTGCTACTCTAAGGGTATCATTTCTAGCAGCTTCTCCAAGGTTCAGTATCAGTCTTACTCACATGGAGACTTTTCTAGTCCCTTCTTAGGAGATTCTAGTATCTTTTACGTGGCTTTTGCGCCTGCCCGTTCTCCGGTGGCTGTACGCCAGTACTTGCCAGTACTGGCTACAGGAAATATCGGCTTTGTAGCTGTTACAAAGGCTGACACTTAGATGCCAAATCCTGGGGGAGCCTTCGAAGTTAACAACATCAAATTCAAAGGTTACTCTGGAAAAGCTTAGGACTCTACGGTGTATTTGGGGGAAAATGAGAGGAGATGAATCAATTCCAAAGGATACATTGCTTGGATTGATTCATCGAAAATATAAAGACCAGTTTGGGAGCAGACAACTAACCATTCAAGCAAACGTTTAATGAAGCAAAGATACAGGAAGACAAGGAATACGCCCAATTCGTCTATGGGGGAGTGTTAAAATTTAGAATAATTGGGGCTATCAAGTAGGACATGTTGTCAATACACAAGTGACTACAAATTCTGTAATAAGTTTCACTTTGGTAGTTACTTGAATCAATGCACTCTACAACCTCAATGACTGAGGGGTCATTATTTCCTTGATAACTATGAGGGATTTTATCATGTGTAAACCTAATTTCTAAGGCCAACTTATAGACTGGTTCAGGTAGCATTTTCCTTATGCGTTTGTTAGATAGAATATATAGACATTTTTTACAAAAACAATTGGTTACCAGAACATTTGTGCTAGCACATTAAATCTCTAAGCCGCTGTTATACCGACTATGGGTAATATACATAGCTAAAAGGTCTAAAGGTTCGAGTGGGTACTAATGGTAACTAAAGATACAAGAGGTAACTGGAGGTGACTAGAGGTAATCCGAGGTAATCCGAGGATGGTAGTTGTGACAGAAAACTAAGCGTAGAGAACATTGTTACTACAGTCCAAGCCATCATACATATACCTGCCCTCCTTCCACTAGCTTATCATAACATAGGCCATAAACTAGTATCAACATAATACCAAGTACCAAGAGCTGTACTGTAGTCATAGCAACACCAGGAGAAGAGTAAAGTTATAAACAAAAGTTAAGATGGGAAGGAGAATCCTTACAAATTATTTGTAAGTCCGGCTAATTTGACTATTGAATTCCCCATTCTATATCACTGTTATCAATACATCCTTCACCGAAAGTTTAATGCGCATAAGCGTTTATTTCACACTAGAATTCCAGTGGATGACTATGTCTTAAATGCAGGTTATAGTTTACTTGTATCTATTACCAATACACATGTATTTAGCTCTATATTCCTGGACCATATATGTGTATGTACATAGATCTACATCTACATAGATCATGACTTACGATCCATGGAGATTGATAAATACTGGACAGAACCACAGTTGATAAGACATGCAAACACGCAATCTCACTCTTATCATCTCGGTTTCACTCAGAGCCATACGTCTCAATACAATTGTTTTCACTCGAATCTTCTTTTCACAACCTCATACAAGACTTACTGTATTGGTCTAACTGCCGACACTAATTCTGCTATAACCTCCATCTTCACTCAAGCTCATAACTATAACAGGCGCAACAGAGGCAAGGAGTTGCGCAATTTATTTGCTTGTCCTTCTATTAGTTGCTGAGCCGATGACATAGCTGCTGACGCTTGTTCCTGTGCTTCACAAATTCTAGCCAATAAATTTTCTGCACATCTAGCTGGGTTAGTGAGAGCTCCATTAACAGAAATAAATTTTTGTTGTATTGTGATAACAAGGTTATGAGAAGTCCAAGAATTGTCACAATGGATGTAACAGTCAACTTGGGTGGATGTAGGATAGCAATTTAAGTCTAATGTAAAGAAGACAGATATATATTGTAGATCTGCTATATTGATGACTATTGAATATAAGAGTGGAAAAGGTTGATCATATACAGAGGTCTAGCAGCAAGTATTTATACACAAAGACATTACATACAACATACCATCAATAGCAATAACTGTCAACCATTCAGCCATTCAACAACTATGTCATCAGATATACCTGCGACATATTATCATATTATCATGTATGGTTGAGATACTGGTGTTGTCATTGCTGTGTGCTGATGATGTATCATTGACACAGGGTCGCTTGTCCTGTCAGTTACACTTGCCTAATACTAGCCATTCCAAGTTGTGTGATCTATAAGTGGGCCTGATCACAACAGTATATGATTTTGGAATGTACACTTGCGCTGGAACGGCTAAGATAGTTTGTGGAGAGATATCTTCATTAATGTGCAGAAGTGAAGTCACTACAATAATTGTTATTATTGGAATATTATTGTATAATTGATGATACTAGAGTGATATGAATAATGATCCTGATAATATTCTATTTATTGCTTGCTTATAGTTACTTCTATCTGAACATGAAGATATCACTATATCATATACAAGTCTCTTGTGCTAGCCTTTATCCCACACAATTACGCCAGTATTACTTGATCGTAAACTGAAACTCATTGACTCAGTTACATCCCCCGTTGTCTATGTATCACTAGACCCTAGGTTCAAGACTATGACACAATGCTAAGTATATATGATACTCCTTGGCTGCAACTTCCCGACCCGAATGCTTCACCCAAGCATATATGACTCTGCCTCAAACTTGTCATGCGTGGAGGTTTGGCGCCCCTACCAAGATATCTGTCATAGACATTTAAAAGTCATGCTCATGTTATTCACAACAGTTATGTCAAAGTTTGGGGGAAGCTCGTCCCTTATCCCTAGCTTGTTCGCTTGTAGACCGATCACGTTACAAGTATGCATCTCACCAATGAGTGTGTCAAGGTGTCGAGAGTTCAATAAATCAATATTCAGAGTTGTCAAAATGTGAAAATTTCAAAAGGTCAAGATGTACACAAATTCAATAGTGTCAAAAGGTTCCTAAGAATACAAGACCATAATCTGCCGAACCTTAGTCATCCCAAGTACCCATTATATATTCCTCTCTATTGTTCTCGAACCTTCCAGTATACTCTGATACAGAATAGAATAGTCTAGACAAGTACAGAACAGAACAGATAGAATGGAATGAAATGGATTAAGACAGGATAGAACAGAACAGAACAGATTAGGATAGAATATAGCAGAATACCACAGATATCTTCATACAGAGCTTCTATTGACCCAGAATAGGCTCTTGGTCCGTGATCGAGTGCTCCCAACTGAGCAGCCTTGCCATTTGTATTATATCAACAACCCAACTCTCATACTGCACACATTACTACTTGTAATCTTGTTATGTAGAGACCTGATCTCCTCCATGCACCATAATGCCATGCTGCCATAATAACTACCTATGCACCAGCTACTTGATCTACCATACTACATAACCGAGCATAACAATACTGGGACGTACATTTTTTGAGATTTTTTGAATTACGAGTGTCTGTGGGCGCAGAAGCAACAATTTTGGATAGTGAAACTGACACTGTGAAAATAGGCAACGAAGGAATGTGTTTTGGTCCACCTCTTGGTTGTAATCTCTCAGAATAAAAGTCTGGGTAGCCTGGATACCTACCTCACTCGAGAAAGGGAGGATTGTGAGGCCATATCTCGCGCGGTGGCTATATAAAAGATGAAATAAGCATGTCAGGGCAGCCAAAGGTTTTTCCTGTTTTCTCTTTGGTGGATATTAACGGTTGAGGGAACGGTGAAATTTCCTACCACCAAGGTCTCGAGTGGTGTCAGCAAATGCACCCATTACATGAGTAGTTGTAAGGATTCTCCTTTTCATCCTAACTTTAGTTTATAATTTTAGCCTTCTCCTGATGTTGCTATGACAACAGAACAGTTCTTGGCACTGGTTATTATGTTGGTACTAGTTTAGGTCCTATTTTATGATTATTAATTCATTTTATTGTCCTGTCTGAGTCTATGACTATGTAGGACATGCAGGTCCTCTCTGCCTACAGGCCAAGGATACCTATACCAGCAGTATATCCCCTCCTATGCCTCCCATACAGCTCCCCTCAAACAGTACCACCCATCACAAGTCCAAATTCGATCATACACTAAGAGGAGCCCTTAGCCCTTCAGTATCTCCCCTCTCCAGCCAACGAAACGATGGCCATTTGCGGGTGTATGGCAGCCGGGAAATTTCGCAAAAACCACTGGGTGCGGGGCTCTTCTAACACCGACATTAGGAATAAATCCGAAGACATATTGCCCCTTCTGAAGCGTTCGAAGAGGCCGGCCAGCCAGGCGCTGCAGATTTGTGGGTACCTCGGAGAATTCACCCTCTGCCTTTATAGCCTCCTTCCAACTCCTTCCCGAAGGTCGTGCTGAAATGTCAGAAAAGTCTTGACAGAGCGTGATTGCTGTATAGAAGCTTAGTCTAACTTCTTTTGTACCGTCCAGGGCGCTGGGGAGTGCCGTTGACTCATCGACAAAAGAAGCCCTCCTGGCTAATTAGCCGAAATCTTGGTCTTGGCGCCAACAAAAAATCCAAAGTTGAAAAATCCTCGAAAATGTCAGTCCCAGCATGGTCTTCAGAGACCTCTTTCCCCTCTCGCTCCACATCTCAGCCGCTTGTTCTTCCTCAAGATGTATAACCCCATTAGAGCAGCAATCCCCCATAAACCAAGACCCCAACTTTGTATTTTTCGACTTGATTTCCTCCTTGCGGGTGTAAATAGCGTCGTAAATATGTAGAGAGTGATGGCCGGCGATGAATGAGGCAAGCTCCTGTTTGCAATTGGGGTGACGCCTTTATCGGTCGGCGAGGCGAGATGATATGTGGTTAGAAAGAGGTTGAGGACTCAGAAGAT